TGCTGTTTGTGGAGGCTGTGCAACCTTCTGGACTGTCCCTAGCTAGCAGGAAAATGTCACTTAGGAATAGGTCACATTGACGGTTACATCTGTCTCTGTTTCCTGATCCACCGAGATTTGACCCACTAAGATGTACACAGGTCATGCCACAAGCCCCCACCGACACAGATGAAGCGGCGCCAGCAGCTGCACTTGCCATAATGGACTGAAATCCACTAAAATATGGGCAACACGAAGCCTTGGGGCCTTAACTCGCTTCTCTCAGGTGTTTGGTCACAACAGCGACAAAAGTAACTACAACATTTGAGCAAGGAAGTGGCTCTGAAAAGTTTAAAAAAAAAAAAAACATGGGAGACCTACTGTTAACCCAGAGATCCCAGGTCACCGCCCCACTCTGTCACCTTCTATTGGCTATTTCATTCCATGCATGTGTTCAATGTGGCAGTGAGTGAGTCAACAGCCTAGGTACTCTCCTGCACTGGGGTGTGTGTGTTGACATGAGGAGACTCTCTCAAACACTAGGAAAATATGTATTCAAGTTTCCATCTAGTCCGGCGATGGTGGCTGACACCTTTAATCCTAGCACTCGGAAGGCAGAGGCAGGCGGATCTCTGTGAGTTTGAGGCCAGCCTGAACTACAGATCGAGTTCCAGGACAGCCATGGTTACACAGAAAAACCGTGTTTCAAAAAAAGTTTCCATTTGTAAGATAAACGCAGTCTGATGGAGTACATTGGGTAAAGACATTGGGTAAAGACAGCAATGTAAAACTCTATTTACAATGAGATAAACCAACATGGAAATGTGGAAATGGAGAGCCAAGTAAGTATATGGGAATAACACAGCTCTGTGCCTCTGACATACTCTTGGGACTGTTTACCAAAAAGAGTTCACTTTATAGGTTGTGCTTACACTTTAGGATAAAACATATTTTAAAATACTGTTAAGTATAGATGAATACACTAGTGTGTGTGTGTGTGTGTGTGTGTGTGTGTGTGTGTGTGTGTGTGTGTGTTGTGTTGTGTGTGCTCTAAAAAGACCTATACCCAGTGTTAGGAAAGGATGCCTCCATTCTAATTACAGATCATTTTTTATTCTGTTTTTCTGTTTGTTAAATTTTCTGTCCTAGAATGTCTAGATACTGGCTTAATATTTTGAACTATGAATAGAAACAAACACAGGACTCACACTGTGCTTGAGAAACAACTGGCTTTTCGGAATAAAGAGAGTGAAAGACAACTATGTGTCTCCCGGTGTGGTGCATCATGGGAGTGGCAACAGACAATGGGTAGAGAAGAAGCCTGCAGAGAACACTCAATGAAGAGAATCAAATGAATGATGAATGAATGAGTATAGTAGATCGTTCCCTCACTGTAACACATTGGCATACCAGTTTCACTGTAGACACAGCATTTCAGCACTATACACTCATGAATACATTCATCTCTGTTAGAGTGGCAGTCAATTCATTACTTTCAAACCTGTCACCACAAGCTCGAATCTGAGCTCTTTTATTTCCATTTTCCTTTTCCCGTTTCGTGCCTTCACCCCTATCTCTTCCCTTATTAACATTAGGGAAATAAATGCCCACAAAGGCCTTGTTAACCTCATAGTCATTAAAAAGACCACTTAGGTGTGTCAAGTTGAAACTCTAAAAAGCATGCCAGGAGTTTTCCACAGACCTGGAAGCAGCATCCTTTATTGAAGAATGTCAGGAAAAGTAGCCAGAAGGCCAGTCCTCTGTCTTCAAAGACAGGTTGTGCCTTGTGTAAGAGATAGTTTCCCCCAGCCTGATAGTCATCCCGAGCCTTGCTCCTGCTTTTAAGTACAAAGAAGAATGTGTGTGGTATGTGGGTGAATGTGTGGTGTGTGGACAGATGATGTGTGGGCTGTGTGCATACAGTGTATGCACATGTTTTATGTAGTATGATGTATGGATACTATCAAAATCACATACTTATGGGAACATAAACTAGTGTAGCCACTGAGGAAATCAATATGGAGGCTCTTCACAGAACTGAAACCACCCTGTGATCCAGCTGTAGCACTCTCAGAGTACACCTGAAGGCTTCTAAGTCAGCACACCGCAGAGACACTTGCACATTCGTGTTTCCTGCTGAGTCGTTCACAATGGCCAGTGTATGGAGGCCGCCTAGATGCCACACAAGAACAGATGGAGAAAATGCAATGTGGTACTCAATGGAGTTTTGTTCAACCATAAAGGAGAATAAAATCACATCATCTGCAGAAAAGTGGGTGTGACTGGAGACCATTGTGTTAAGGGAGATATGTGTGAAAGACACGAGGAAAAAATATTACTTTTTCTCTCATTTGCATCTAAATATATATGTACATGATGAAAATAGAATAGGGGCTGCATGGGAGAGGATAAAGCCTAATGGGGGGACAAAAGAAGATCAGGAAAGGAAAAAAAAGACAAACATCATGTGTTCTCATTCATATGCAGACCCCAGATTTAAGGGTTGTGTGATGCGTGTGTGCGTGTGTGTGTGTGTGTGTGTGTGTGTGTGTGTGTGTGTGTGTGTGTGTTCAAACAGAAGGGTGTCTGTTTGTGGAGAAGGGAGTGTGAGTGATATGATGAATATGTGAAGTACAATGATATGAGAATGTCATAAGGAACCCCAGTACATATGCTTACTAAAAAGTCAATAAGAAACAAAATGATCACATGCCTAATTGGACGTATGGCTGGGGGTGGGCACATGATACAGTGTTTGTTTGGCATGCACAAGTTGGTATTGAGTTTGAGCCCCAATACCTGAAAGTAAAAGTCTAATTGGATGGAATTTTTTTAGGTCCACTTCAGAAGGCTCTGAAATACATACAAATTCTGGGGCTGATTAATGCAATGGCTCAGTCTGTTCTGCTTTTTTCTAACAATTACTAAAGTGTTACACACAGCATAGACCCAGAAAGAGCTTTTGATCATTGGCTCTGCCTACATATTGTGCAATTTGGCCCGCAGAGTTCCGGAAAGCTGCCCAGTGTCACACAGCACTCTCAACTGGCATAGTGAACTATCCTTGAGGACAGTGCCCCTCCTGTTCCAGAGTGTGTCCCCTCTCAGACCCTCAACAATCACATTTCTCTTAATTTCAGCATTAAAAATTACTGTTGAGATAGAGCCGTTTGGCACTGAGGATCAGCCAGGCCCATTTGCTAAATGTATCATCTGCTGAGGAAAAGCCTCCTCATCCAGGGCACATGGAGATGGGCAGAGGACTGGACAACCAAGACGACCCTGCTACCACTCAGGGCAAAGCGAATCTAGCATAAAGCTGCAGAAGCCAAGAAAGCGGCATTTGGCGGAAGAGCCAGTGTTTGGCCTGCTGTGCCGGACATGAGCCGTCTCTTGTTCCAGCCAAGCAATCCACATTCCATGTCTTTTCCAGGATCCAAACCCCAGCGATCTACCTGCCCACTCTCATCTTCTGGATGCCAGGAGCTCCCTGACTGCACCGTTTTCTTCCCATGTGCTAAGTGCCATCTGTACACACCGTGGCCTCTGCCATATGCACAGCTTCCCTGAGAAACATCCAGAAGCTTTGAAAGCTAAGCTTCTCCCAAGAGGGCCTGTCCTTTCCTATCCAGGCAGAGTTGGTATTTCCTCCCCTTCTGGTTTGCAGTTTTCCCTCACAGCCCTCCAGGTGTGGAGTCATTCCACATATCTGGCTCCTGGGCTGCTAGGTCAGGAGTTCCTCCAGCGGAGGCTTCCTCTATTTATCAGCATCCAGGCCTTAGGCCACCAAAGGAATAGTTGCTAACTGTCTACTGGAGTGCAGGAGTGGGTTTTTGAGAATATATACTTGTTCTATATTTCCAAGTCACAAATTCAGGAACTTAAAACTGTGTGTGTGTGCGTGTGTGTGTGTGTGTGTGTGTGTGTGTGTGTGTGTGTGTGTGTGTGTGTTACTTTGCAGTTTTTGATGATCATAGCTTAATTCGGTCCTGTTTTTAAGGTGTCACGAAACTAAAATCAAGTGTGTTACCCAGGATCTGGGGTCATCCAGTGGCAAAACTGGGGAAAACAGCATCACACTCACCTGGGTTGATAGATTCAGCATTGGACTGAGGACCCAGCTTCTTCTGGACCTTAGCTGGAGGCTAACATCAGCTCACAGCTTCTTACATCATCAGCCCCATCCACAGCAAGATCAAGTTCTATATAAGGAAACACAGTCACTGAAGTGACTGCCACTCATCATCACCATATTGCTAAGGACAAAGTGATAGGCCCCACCCACCTCAAGGGAAGAGATCAAATACACAGGGATGGAAGCTGGGAACGCAAGAATGGTCCTCAGATCTTCCCATCATAGACGATGCTGAGTTTTGAACATGAAATATCCCCCAGACTCTAGTGTTAAACTCTAGGTTCCCCAACTCATGGTGTGATTATGAGAGGTGAAGTAAACTTCAGGAGACAGAACCTGGCTGAAGCAAGGGAGTCCCTGACAGTGGGCTTTTAAGGAAGAGCTTGTCACTGGCCCCTGCCAGTCTCCTCTTGGCTTCCTGGCTGTCGTAAGGTGAACAGCTTCCCTCTACCATACTCTTGTTTCATGATATGTCTACAGGCCACAGGCAAAAGAAATCCTTCCTCTTTTAAAGTGTTTCTCTCAGATAATATTAACAGTGATAAAAGATTTAAGACAAACAGAGAGAGAGAGAGAGCGAGAGAGAGAGAGAGAGAGCGCGCTAAATCTTGACAGTCAGTTTCATTGTTGTTTGTCAAGGTTTCATGTATACTGGGTTGGCCTCAAACACACAAGCCCAAGGATGAGCTTGAACTTCTGATCCTCCTGCTTCTACCTCTTAAGTGGTGGGATTAGGCACGTGTCCCAGTGCTCTGTTATAAGGCACTTGGAGTAAACCTTGGGCTTCTGTGTGCAAGGCAAGCACTCAGCCAACTGAGCCACATCCCAAGCCTGCTGGTCAGTTCCTCACTGTTGAGTCTCTCTTCTCCCTCCCGCTCTCTTGCAGGTGGCCTCACTGCTGCTGGCAGATCGTGTCTGGAAGAAGATACAGCTCCAGTGGCCTCATGTCCTGGGAAAGGAGAATCCATTCAATTCTCAGATTGAAGAAGTGTTTGGAGACCAAGGAGGACACTGAGTGTCTCCAGAAGGAGCACCACTGCAGACCAGAAAAGTGGATAAACCCTCCTATCCACCCACTCTAGGGTTTGCTGTGCCACAGGCCCAGAGGACCCTCTTCAGTACCCTTTCTGTAGACCACTTTTCTTTCAATTGGAGACAGACCTGAATGGCTGCCTCTGCTCAACACTGAAATACTCTTTAAGAAAGTGCTTTGGGTTGTTTCTAGGTTCTGGCTATTATAAATAAAGCTGCTATGAACATAGTTGAGCAAGTGTCCAGGTGGTATAATTGAACATTCTTTGGGTACATTCCCTAGGGTGTTATAACTGCGTCTTGAGGTAGATTGATTCCCAATTTTCTGATAAACTACCATATTGATTTCCAAAGTGACTTTACAAATTTGCATTCCATACAGCAATGGAGGAGTGTTCCCCTTGCTCCACATCCTTTCCTGCATAAGCTGTCATTTGTATTGTTGACCTTAGCCATTCTGACAGGTGTAAGATGCAATCTCGGAGTCATTTTGATTTGGATTTCCCTGATGGCTAAGGATGTTGAACATTTTTTAAGTGTTCCTCTGCCATTTGAGATTCTTCTGCTGAGAATTCTCTGTTTAGGTGTGTATCCCATTTTTTAATTGGATTATTTATTTGTTTTTTTAATTTTTATTTTTATTTTGCAATACAATTCAGTTCTACATATCAGCCACAGATTCCCTTGTTCTTCCCTCTCCGGCCCCCCTCACCCCTCCCCTTCCCCCCAGCCCACCCCCCATTCCCACCTCCTCCAGGGCAAAGCCTCCCCCACGCACTGAGATCAACCTGGTAGGCTCAGTCCAGGTAGGTCCAGTCCCCTCCTCCCAGGCCGAGCCAAGAGATCCTGCATAGGCCCCAGGTTTCAAACAGCCAACTCATGCAATGAGCACAGGACCTGGTCCCACTGGGGACCCCTCAGCCATTGGTTCATAGTTCATGTGTTTCCATTCGTTTGGCTATTTGTCCCTGTGCTTTATCCAACCTTGGTCTCAACAATTCTCGCTCATATAAACCCTCCTCATTCTCGCCAATTGGACTACCAGAGATCCACCCGGGGCCTAGCCATGGATCTCTGCATCCAGATCCCTCAGTAGTTGGATGGGGTTTCTAGCACAACAATTAGGGTGTTTGGCCATCCCATCACCAGAGTAGGTCAGTTCGGGCTGTCTCTCGACCATTGCCAGCAGTCTGTTGTGGGGGTATCTTTGTGGATTTCTGTGGGCCTCTCTAGCACTTTGCTTCTTCCTATTCTCATGTGGTCTTCATTTACCATGGTCTCCTATTCCTTGTTCTCCCTCTCTGTTGTTGATCCAGCTGGGATCTCCCGCTCCCCCAAGCTCTCCTTCCCTCGACCCTCGCCCTTCACTACCCCCACTCCTGTCCAGGCTGTTCATGTACATCTCTTCCATTTCTCCATCATTGGGCGATCCCCGTGTCTTTCTTGGGGTCCTGTTTTCCAGGTAGCCTCCCTGGTGATGTGAGTAGCAGTCCAGTCATCCTTGTTCCACATCTAGTATCCTCCTATGAGTGAGTACATACCATGTTTGTCTTTCTAAGTCTGGGGTTTATTTTGATATCTAGTTTCTTGAGTTCTTTATATATTTTGGAGATAGCCCTCTGTCAGATGTGGGGTTGATGAGATCTTTTCTCATTCTGTAGGCTGCTGTGTTGTCCTATTGGCAGTGTTCTTTGCCTTACCGAAGCTTTCTAGTTTCATGAGGTCCCATTTGGTAATTGCTGATCTTAGTGTCTGTGCTGCTGGTGTTATATTCAGGAAGTTGTCTCCTGTGCCAGTACATTCACCACTTTCTCTTCTATCAGGTTCAGGGTATCTGGTTTTATGTTGAAGTCTTTGATCTACTTGGACTTGAGTTTTATGCAGGGAGATAGATATGTGTCTATTTACATTCTTCTACATGCTGACATCCAGTTATGCCAGCATCATTTATTGAATATGCTTTCTCTTCTCCACCATATAATTGTGGCTTCTTTGTCAAAAATCAAGTGTTCATAGGTTGTGTAGATTTATATATGGGTCTTTGATTTGATTCCATTGAGCCATGTGTCTGTTTTTATGCCAATACCATGCTGCTTTTATTACTATACTCTGCAGTAAAGCCTAGATGTCCCTCAACTGAAGAATGAATAAAAAAATGTAGCACATTTACACAATGGAGTATTACTCAACTGTTAAAAAACAATGGCATCAAGAAATTTGAAAGCAAATTGATGTAACTAGAAAAAAATCATCCTGAGTGAGGTAACTCAGACCCAAAAGACAAACATGGTGTGTACACTCATAAGTGAATATTAACTGTGAAGTAAAGGATAACCATGCTACAATCCAAAGATCCAGAGAGGCTGGGTAACAAGGAGGGGCCCAATGGGAGGACACATGAATCTCCCTGGGAAGGGGAAATAGATGCAATCTCCTGCGTAGACTGGGGCAAGTAGGGATGGAAACTTGAGGGGTCAGGTTGGAGTGGGTGGAGGGGGAGAGTGCTGAAAGAAATGACTGGAAAGGGGGGGGTAGGTCAGGTAGAAACCTGATGCAAGGGAAACTCCCACGAATCTACAAGGATAACCCCAGCTCAGACTTCTAACAATAGTGGATACATAGCCTGAACTGGCCATCTCCTATGATCAGATTGGTGACTATCCCAATTGTCATCAGAGAGCCTTCATCTAATAACTGCTGGAAACAGATACAGAGGCCCACAGCCTAACATTAGGCTGAGCTCAGGGAATCCTACTTAAAAGAGGGAGGAAGGATTGTAGGAGGCAGAGGGGTCAAGGACATCACAAGAAAATCCACAGAAACAACTAACCTGGCTCATAGGAACTCACCAAGTCTGAACCAACAACCAGGGAGCCTGCACGGGACCAACCTAAGCCATCCATATGTATGTTATAGTTGTGTAGCTTGGTCTATTTGTGGGACTCCTAACAATGGGAGCACAGGCTGTCCCTCATGCTTTGGCTGGCTCTTGGGAAATTATGCCTCATACTGAATTGCCTTGCCCAGCCTAAATACAAGGGGCAGTGCTTAGTCATATCGCAACTTAATATTCCAAGCTTTATTGATAGCATGGGAGGCCTGCCTCTTTCTGAACAGAAACAGAGGAGGAGTGTATTGAAGAGGGGCAGAGGGGAGGTGGAGGAGGGAATGAAAGGAGAGGAGGGAGGGAAAATAAATTTTTTAAAAAACCAATCAAAAAGAAAGAAAGAAAAGAAAGAAAGAAAGAAAGAAAGAAAGAAAGAAAGAAAGAAAGAAAGAAAGAAAGAAAGAAAAGTGCATGTTGGGAATCACTCCAAACAAGGCAATATCTGTGCCTTTCAGCAGTCTATTGTTCCAGAAGAGGCTTCTAAAATGGCAAACCACCCCAGGATGCTCATCAGCTTACCAGTATGCACTTGAAGGTAGTCCAGAAAGCTGAGATTCCTTCTAGAAGAGTGTAGAAATTTGGTATACCTGTACCAAATTTTCTTAGGAAGTAAGCTACTAAAGACTCATCCTTTGTAGTAGTCAATACAAAGTCAAAATTTATAGCTTCTGCACATTTGGATGCTGGAACCTCCATTAAATGAAGATGCTTTTCTTTAAAAAGCTTTTCTTGAATTCTTTAACTGTATAATCTGTGTCTTTCTTATAATAATGACTTTGTGTCATATTCTATAGAAATAATGTTTAAAAATAAAATGTCTTTCTTATTGATATTATTAATAGTTTCTTATTAAATTGTTCTCTGATGAGTTCATGCATATCTACAATGCATCTGGTTGCTCTCACCCCCACTCCCATCCTCTCCTATTTCTCTCCTACCCCTGTTAACTCATTGCCTCCCTGCAAATCCTATGCCCACCTTCATGTCTGTCTTATTTGTTTTGAGACCCACTGAGTTTAACCAGGGCTGTCTTCACAACCATGAATTTGGAACTATCCCCTGGAGTCCAGTGGGCTCCCCAGTGGGAACACAGCTGAAGACAATGCCTCCCTTTCCTCCAGCATACATCAATGGCCAATAGTTCCCCAGGGAGGGGTAGGTTTATTGATAATTTTAGGGAGTCTTTTCCAGCTACATAAATCAGTATGGGTAAAGTTATGTAAGCATACAAGATTGTTATCACAGTGGCATACCTGGACCAAATTTCTTTAGGAAGTGAGCTACTAAAGACTCCCTGTTTGTAGCAGTCAGTCCTCAAATTTTACAGCTTCTGCACTTCTGGATCATTCAACCACAGATCAAAGGTATTTAAAAAAAACAACTGCTTATTCCCTAACAATACAGTCTTAGAACTGTTTGCACAGTACTCATATTAGATTAGGTATTATAAGTGATGTGGTTTTGATCTTAAATGCCTCACAAAGGCCCATGTATTACAGGCTTGGTTCTCAGCTTAGTAATCCTGGGAGGTACTGAAATTGTTAAAGGGGTAAGGCTAGTGAAAGTACGAGATCATTAGGGGCCCATCCTCAAAAGAGCTTGTAGGACCCCAGCTCCTTCCTCTTCCTCTCATTTGTTCCCAGCCATGAGATGAACTCCCTACATGTTTCCACCATGATGTACTGCCATGTGTCCAAAGCAATAGGGTTAATCAGTCATAAGCTAAACCCTATAAAACAGTGAGCTACAACAAACCTTTCCTTTTTTTTTCTCTCGATACAGGGTTTCTCTGTGTAGTACCTTTTCTGGAACTCACTCTGTAGCCCAGGCTGGTCTTGAACTCACAGAGATCCACCTGCCTCTGCCTCCCTCATGCTAGGATTAAATGTGTGTGCCACCACTGCCCAGCCAAACCTTTCTTTTTATGTGCATTATCTTGGGTGTTTGTTATAGTAGTGGATAACTCACTTCACAATAAATCATCTTGAGATGATTTCAAGTTCACAGGAGGATCATGTCAGTTCTACATAAATGCTATACCATTCTCTACAAGGAACTTGAACCTGGTTAGGAGTCCTGGAGTCAATCCCCCCACAGATGGAAAGAAGACTTGAGCATAGGTTGAGGTCTATATATGCACAGGAATTCTGATCAAGTCTAGCAAACACCTTCTTACCTGTGAGTAACTTCACTCGGCCATTTCGAACAAACCATAGATTTGGGATTCAGTGTTTGTACACCCAAGCCCACCTGTGCTGTCAGCATCCTCCTCTCTAGCAATCACATTTGTCTCCATTCTATTCTGAAAAGTTTGCTTGGTATAGCCCAGAGGTATGAGATAGTTCAC